CAAGAAAAGAGGACACCCCAAGGACTTGCTGCTTCAATTCGTTACGTTCAGAAATTGCACATAGGTAATAGCAGAGATATAAATGCATCGGAGAACAGGTATTTTATGAGGTCATCAGGGGAGAATACCTTCACAGGGGTGGGGAAGAGCTGTATCATTTCACCTCCAACTATGATGCAGTAGATCCACATCCAATACAGAAAAGACTTCAGAAGAGAATCCTAAAAAGTAGCTATAATTGCTTAAATGGTAAAACATTTTGCCGCATCAGATACTAGTTGTAATTGCACTAGTTTTGACTATCACCAAACAGTTTTTCTGTTGGTGTAATATAACCTCACATATAAATTTTTCTTTAAAACTGACGAGGGATAATATCATGACCACCTGCTATATCAAAATATATGATGAGAGATGGACTCAAGTGAGTGAAAAGGATGTATGCTTTGGTATCTAAGGCAAGAAGCAATATACCCAAATAGGGACATATTGCAGAACCAGGACCATGTTTGTATGTAGTCAGAGCACATGTTCAAATGTGAACGAATTCACGAGACAAACACATCAATCACTACCCCAATTTGGTGGCACCAAATTGCGGTAGTTGGATGTTTGCTATATGAATAATGTTTTGTGGAAACAGAAATATAAGTTTTTGTGTAAGTGCTGTACAATACATTTCAGACTGAAATTTAGAAAACAAGGGATAACACAGCATAAATTAATTAAAAAATGACATTATTAAAAAATTCATACTTTATAGCTGTGTTTTCTTAAACAAAAACAGTGTATACATGAAAAAAATGCATACTATGCCCTTGGAAATCTAACAAAGAATAATCAAAACATTTATATTAGGATATCTAAAACAATATTCCACATTCATCAGCCTTTATTATTATACATAATTTTGGGCAACACAGCGGTGTACAAAATTTTATTTCAACTAAAAGAATAAATCACATTTCCGTTTTCTTCAAAATTTCTCACTAACAGTTTTTAATCTGTTTTGCATCAGACGCCATGATGACAGCCAATTTCTTTGATTAATATCACTAATATATAGAATATATATACAAAACTACAACATATATCAAATCATTGCACCTTTAGTGTAATATACAGTACATCTGAGTAGGGTAATAAAATACTCTGGACCTATACAATGATACACATGTGAAATTGGATCCATGCAAAGTAGGAAAACAACATGATAAGAGATGTGGTAGCGTAGTCTTGTTGCTACGTTACACCAGAATATGACTCCATGGGCGATTGACTACAGAAATTAGAATCGTGACCCCATGGGAATGTGGTAGTCAACACAACTCACCAATGCTGCTGCAAGTTAGTTAAAAGCAGAGACTGGGTGTGTTCAAAATAGCTTCTCTGTAAAAAAGCCAAGACTGGGCAATCAAGTGTTTACTGACTGTTGAAAGTGTCAAGAAAAAGGGGAAAAAAAAGGAGAAAAAAATCTTTCTTTCAACCAATATGGTTAATGCCCATTTCCTGTCCATCTTGTTTGAGACCTTTCTGAATCACACCCACGAAGAGCTACAAGAACATGTTAGAGACCACTATCAATATGGTACACCTGTAGAAGGAAACTTCCTGGATGGTCAGCAGGTAGGGGGGCAACTTCTGTGCTAATCAAGATACATATGAATCAGAGTATCCTTCTCTCTTTCTTGCAATTTTTCCCTCTATCTCACACACACACACACACACACACACACACACACAACACACACACACACACACACACACACACACACACACACACACACACACACACACACACACACACACACACACTCACACTCACACTCACACTCACACTCACACTCACACTCACACTCACACTCACACTCACACTCACACTCACACTCACACTCACACTCATCACACTCACACTCACACTCACACTCACACTCACACTCACACTCACACTCTCACTCTCACTCTCTCACACACACACATTCATACTCATACACTCACTCTCACTCTCACTCACACTCACTTTAGCAAGTCACTCACTCACTCACTCACTCACTCACTCACTCACTCACTCACTCACTCACTCACTCACTCACTCACTCACTCTCACTCACTCACTCCTCACTCACTCAGTCTCTCTGGCACATATTTTCACACACACACACACACACACACACACACACACACACACACACACACACACACACACACACACACACACACACACACACACACACACACACACACACACACACACACACACACACACACACACACACACACACACACACACACACACACACACACACACACACACACAAAACTCTCTCCTTACTCTTACTCTTACTCTCACTCACTCTCACATTCACACTCACATACTCTCATCAAACAACCTTTCAACTTCCTTTTGCAATAACATGCACTGAATCCTGCCCTCTACAATGAATCTTAAATGGCAATATCAGTGAGGTCTGTCATAAATAGCTGTGTGCATATGAAGCCCAGTGAAAGAAATAAGAAACAGGAAGAGTAGAAAAAGGGTCATTTGGAGCGAAGAACTCCTTTCAGAGGGGATGTCTGGGAAGGGGAGACCAAAGATGTGTGACAACCGTTATTTACAACCTTCGGCCATGGAATCACTGGAGTCAAATAAACTTTTCTATTGAGTTACCGACACTACATAACTATGACAGCAGAAAAAGTTAAAGTGACCACCGGACTACTAAGACGAAGGAAACCATGCCTATGCTTGTTAGAGCCTTCTTATAAAACCTGCACTACCATCTACCCATCCCAAACATTACACTTCTGTTATCTGAATCACAAGTTCAAATCCTATACATATATACGTGCACACGCCTATAATTTTTATGTCATCTTTTCCTTCTGTCTCACTTTCTGTCTCGCTTGCACTCTCTCTTGCTCACTCATACATTTTACATCCTGTCACTATAATCCTCTCCCCTCTTGCTGTTTTCCTCTCTTTTTTTTCTTTTTTTTTCTCTATACTTTCTCTCCCAATAGTTAGTATTCCCTCACTCTTCCTTTTCTAATTCCCTCGCCCTTCTTGTGTCTCCTTTCCTCTCCCCGATATAGCCCTCACTCTAGCTCTTTTTCTCCTTATTTCTCTTTATGTCTGATAATTCTAAATTCTTTTCTCTTCCTTTTCCTCTTCCACAACCTACCTCCCCCTAGCTATTTCTTAACTAACTTATCCACCAACCTCACAATTCACAAACTTAATATTTCCCTATTCTTCCAGCTTACAAACTAATCTTTCACATTTTCTCTCTTACAAACTTGACATTCACTTCCCATTAACATACACTTACACACATCTTTCACAAAATCAGTTGAATCATCTTCACTCACATGAATTCTCTTAATAAACATCTTATCTTATAAACATTCACAGACACTTAAGCATACGCACAAACATATATGCCAACACACTTTACCTCTAGTTTTGATTACAAAATATCTAATCTATTTACATCAAGCTTTGCCCATACAGTAGTGAAAATTGCTAATTTCAGCATTATGCTGTACGGTCTGATATCACGGCCAATATCAATACATTCTGTAATGACACGCAGTTCTTTAGCTTCAGAATAACATGGTCAAAGGTTACCTGATCAGATTCAAGACAACATAACCGGTCTTTCAACTGTTCAGTAGTCATTAAAAGATTTAAAAGTAATTTCTGGACAAGTTCTTTGTATATTTTATCAAGTGCTATATTCGTGTGCTTCACCTCCAAGGCCATATATATGCTCTTTTTAACCTAGGTATCAACTATCTGAGAGGAAAAAAGGAAGAAGAAAAAAATCAAACACCGAAGAGATAAAAAGAATGTCAGAAAAAATCAACATGTTCTAAGAATAATCTTGAAAATTCTCGGCAAATCCCTCATCCCCAAGTGTCTTCCAAGAGCCAGAAATAAGAAACCATGCTGAGGTCCAGTCCTGCCCAAACTGCTTCAAATTATAACTCACCTCAGAACTTTACTAGATGAGAAGGATCCATTCTCTTCACACACATAAATACTTCCATTACTTAGAAAAGGCATGTATTTAACTGTGTGCATCATTGTGTCCCTATACAAGAAAAAATATCAAAATTAAATCTACCAAGACTAACATAATTGAGTTGAGGTGTTCACTATTTGTGAGCATTTCAGGTAATCATTTCTCTAAACAAAGAGGAAGGATAAGAAACTTGCCTAATTTATGATGAGAATGAACATGACCAGCAATGTTTTATACACAAAAAAGGAACTCTTCTGGAGATATCTATAATGCAATGCATGGAGCATCGTGAGCAGTAGCCTAGTACAAGTAGTCTGTTGACAAATTCTTCAGTTCGAGCATAAGGTATTCAGTGTACATGTTCTGTTGTTCTAACCTCCACTTAGAGAGATCAAGGATGTGGAGAGTGTCATGAAGCTGAAGGATAAAAAATTATCAAGATAATAATGCATTTGGGAGTCTTCCTAGTGGTCTGAATGCTGGATATAAGGTGACTTAGAAATAATAACCTGTAATCATGTTGGAAAAAAAAGGTCAAAGTTCCAAGTTGATTAGCAAAAGAGGCTAGCATGACAAATTCCACATGTCGTGCAACAGAAACAAAACTATATTGTCTTCTTGTTTGGCTAGTGGTTAGTCATATAAGCAATGACTGCATGGTTTGCTGAAAAATAACATTGTAGCTGTGAAGGTAAATTTGGTCCTTGTATATGCATAAAACTTACCAAATCCTTATATAGCCAAAGTATCAAAAATGCAATCATACCCATGGCAGGTACGATGAGCAATTCCAAGCCTTTAGCGCAACTAATCGAGGCTCAATTCTGTTTATGGCAGTATACTAGTTCTACTACCTGAGCAGTCTATACAACCATTGTGACAAGTACTATACAATTGCCAGCCAAACTCTACACCCTGAAATACATTTTACACAATGAAAAATAAAGAGATGTCATCTCTATAAAATCAAAACAA